ACCTAATTACAAGACAATAGGATGGACAATTTTTTATAAGGCTATTGAAAATGAATGAAAGTGCCTTACGTGAAAATTACTTATTTAAAAATTTTGTTAGAAAATTGTATGTTTGCAGAGTGGTTTTTGTTCTGGACTGCTAGGAAAGCAAACAGGTTTGTTCTCGAGAGGGTGAAGCAGTGCTGCTCCTTGGAGGCAAGGATTCTAAAGCTTCGTCTGACATACTTTGGACATGTTACAGGAGGAACCAGTCCTTGGAGAAGGACTTCATGCTTGGGAGGGAGGAGGGACAGCGCAGGAGAGGAAGACCGACCCTCGATGAGATGGATTGATTCAGTGACTGGGGTAATAATGGAGGCAGGTGTGTCGGAGATGGTGAGATGGGCACAGAATAGGGCAGAGTTTTAGGGCTGTTATACATAGGGTCGCTATGAGTCACAGGCGACTCGACGGCACATAACAACAACACAACAACAACTTTTTAAACTACTTTTGTAAAAAACGTCTAAAAAGGTGAGCTCTGGTGGCCTAGTGACAAGAAGCTGCACTGCAATCCCAGAGGTGAGCAGTTCAAATCCACCAAATGATCTGCTGGAAGAGGAACAATCTCCTCCTGTACCAGTCAGATCCGATTTGATGGTGCACACACAAAAATAATAATAATAATGATAATAATTTTTTAAAAAACCTCCAAAACTGGTCTAATAAATAATATGTTTAATACTAGGGAAAATAATTTTTCCTATACCTAAGTTGGGATATCTCATTCTAAGTAAGATATTCTTAGTAAGTCAAGTAACCAACATTAAATAAGACCTTGGAAAATTGCTAGGTTTTATATTCATTAAATTACTGTCACTGTGATTTGGAGAATTTATAGAGGAAAAAGAACTGAGGACAGGGCAAGTTATTTTATTTAATATTTTGTCTTTTTTAACCAGTAAAATTGATAAATCCCTTAAACGAAGGTTTTAAGTTTTAAGATTTTAGTTTGTAAAATATTTTTTAATGTTAACGCTCACATTTTCCAAAATAAGACCTCAAGTTCCTCAGAGTAGTAAAAACTGATAGCTCTAAAATGTGTTGTATGGTAATGCAAATTTCAGGATTTAGTTTTTACATTAATTAATAATGTATACTCCTCTTTCCCCCCCATTATATTAAAAGTATTCTATGTCCAATTAAAAAAAAAGATGTAATAATTTTCCCTTTTTATTAGAGTAGTTCTTATGATTTACTTGTTAACAACCAGTGCTGGAGAAGTGATAATTTATGATTTTTAATTTAGATCACAAAAAATCATGACATTTTCAACTTCGTTCCAGGAATGTCTGTGTTGGAACCTTACATCACCATGTATGTTGTAATACTGCTCTGAAGCTGCCATACCATGAGGAAGGACAAAATAGTCCATGTACAGAAGCCCTGAGACTACAAGAAAGAAATTGTTGTTGGGCACCGTCAAGTCAAGCATGACTTATAGCGACCCTATGAAGAACAGGCCTGAACCCTGTCCTGTCCTGTGCTATCCTGTGCCATTCTCTCAATCTCTGACACACTCAAGCACATTGCTGTTTGTCACTTGTCAGTCCACTTGGGTGAATGTCTTCCTCTCCTTTGCTGTACCTCCTTTGCAAACATGACGTCCTTTTCCAAGTAATAGCCATTTTAGCAAGAAGAAAGAAGTATGTGAGACAGTATGTTTTATCAGACCCTGGCTACTCAAGACTCCTGTTTTAACTTTGCTATCATCCGATTTTAGCGTCATGGAAGATCCCAAGCCCAAATCATACAGGTGAGCTCTTCTCAAATGTTATGTCTCATAGAATCAATGAAAAAGAATAATGCTTCTGTTCTTTTAAAGCATTAGATTTTGGGGGTAAGTTGTTTCAGAGCAATAGTAATTAGACCACTCTTCTTTGCACCCACCCTGAGAGACCATTATGTGATGCTTGCTTTTATTGTCTTTTTTTTGTTTGTCCTGCGGGAATGCATTTTCCTGAAGACTAAGGTGCACCTGATTCAAGTCTTGGTGTGTGTTTTTTCTTTTTCAGTCACTTGCTGTGCAGCTGAGAGATGGACAATGAATTATGATAGAATTGATACCTTTGAGTTGTGCTGGAGAAGGGTCCTGAATGAACCACCAAGAGAACAAACAGGTATGTCTTGGAAAAGGTGTAGCCAGAGTGCTCCTTAGAGGCCGAGGTGGTGAACTTTCATCTCACATACTTTGGTTGGGCGTATTGCTAGGGAAGGTTCTTCCTTGGAAAGGGACATCATGCTTAGAAAGGTAGAGGGTCAGCAAAGAGGAAGAGTCTCAACGAGGTGGGCTGACACAGTGACTGCAGCAATGGGCTTAAGTGTCAGAGATAATGAGGATGGCATAGGATAGGATGGAGTTCAGGTCTGTTACTATATGGTCACTAGGAGTTGTACTCGATGGCACCTGACAATACCAACAACATATAATAGGTCACATTGTTCCTTCCACCCCACCCCACTGAACTATTTAAAAATATGCTTCCTGCTGCTGTGTTGCTTCCAGCTGTGTCAAATGTGTCAGGATACACACACATATTTTTCTTTTCCCATTCCTCTAATAAAAACCCATTGCTTCTAGTACTTCAAGTACTAAGAACTTCCATGGACATCCTGAGGCATGTCCTTGATGACACTCTGTGACAGTTTGGGGACAACAGACCAAGAAGTGAAAATATTGGGCATGTGTATGCTAATATTAACTAATCAATGCTGATTGTTTGCCAAGATCCCTGCACCCGTCCAGTCTACCATCAGTGAGGGCTAACATGCCAGATGACCCATACCATACTGGCTGATCCAAATTCTGTATATATATTTTATTTATATAAAGAACTAAGGTGTTGGCTAGAGAGTTTGTTTTCAAAAAATGCCTCGAACATCAACATCATACACTTCCTCCCATCACTAAGGCCTTTGCTCAAATGTCACTTGCCACTCTATTACCACTGCTATGTCCTCTAACCTTCCAGCCCTCTCATCTTGCTATGCTTTGCTTTATAATTCTTATATTTATTTCTGTGTGTTTGCTTACTATCTGTTTCCCCTTACATGAATGTTCTTGGAACCCTATGATCGGTGAACATTTATTATGAATTATCAGAGCCTAATTAGCCAAATGCCATTCTAAGGAGACTCAAGTCTTCCCTGTTCATGCTTCCGCCCCAGCCTCTTAGTGACGGACTACTGGGAGGCAGCGTTTGATGCTTGGTTTCCCATTTTCTGCATTTTGGATATTTTCATCTTGCAAAGTCAGCAAGCACAGGGCTTAAGGACCCCAAGACATTCTATTAGCACATTGGCCTGTGTTCTCTGGGAGCGCAATTTGACTTTCAGGGTTCAGGTGCCACTGGTGCCCTAAGTGCTGTTGAGAAGTTTGCTTGGTCACAATTTCTTGTTGAATGGATTAATAAAATCATTAGCCTCTGGTCTCATCTGGACCCAAAAACAGAGAAAGGAAGAATAAAAACTATTTGAATTCGTAATATATGACATTTTAGTTATTACCTGATAATATTAGTTCCATAGAACATTGACATTTAAATTCATTAAATTAAATAATCCATTCATTTATTCACACTAGGCACATTTGAAGTGCTCAGGCATCCCATGGAGCTAGTGATCAGTATAGATACTGAAGAGCATCGCCATCAGGGCAGAAAGTTCACCTGGACAACACTGTATAGAGTTTGAAGTTCCCTGAGCAGTCTATGAAAAGGCAAATTTGCCCTTAGAGGTCTTGATGGAATTTCTTTTGCTTTATTTCCTTAAGGGAAAAAAATTTCCATTTTGTTCCCTCATTAAGAATAACATCCAGTACACATTTGCTTTGGAAAGACTGAATGAAGTTGTCTTGCCTGCTGACTTCTGGAGGGGCATTTCTCCGCTTCCTACATGCACTTTCCGCGGAGTTGTCTGGGACACAATGTGCTGTTAGCACCAAAGTAACTTTTCACTGTCTTATAATAAGCATGTTTTAAGGATGCATGAGTCTTGTGTTTTCTTTAACCTTCACCTGCCATATTAATTGTCCCTCTTTGGAAGGCTAGGTTAGAGTTGGAAAATGGCTTCATTCCCTTTTGTTGTCATTTACCCTTCAAATTCCAAAGGTGTGTGTTTAAGAGTAGGTTTCATAAGATTTTAAAAGAAGGCCTTGATATTCATAAGCCTCTCTTTCCAATTTAAAAGCAAGAAATACGAATTTGGGGGAAATGTCAAATATTATAAATTTATTTGGGATATCAGTTGCAACCACATTGCGAACTTTTGAAAATTCAAACAGAATACACTTCCATCTTAACTTTTTACTTTCAATAAATAATATCTTTGTGTATATGTATATATAGATAGATATATTTAATGAATCATTTTAGCGGTGTTTTTAAGTTTTATACTGCATTCATCCAACACAGCTCTTTCCAGATTGATAGGATGCAAATGAGGTAAGAATTAAGGCAAACCTAAAAGGCATGCAAATGTACATTTATATTCACTGATAATACAAGCTCTTGTGTGTGGACCAGACACAGAAGCCAAGGGCCCCTTTTCCCCACTGTCCAGTACTATTTTACAGGAGGATGGTGACACAGCTTATAATTTACATTACCGTAGGGGTCTCAGTGCCACTAACATTACGTAATCAAAGAGACACGAGCATTAGCAAAACATGAACAAGAAATCATATAACTCTTTGCAGCACATTTCTGCCCAGGCTTTGGAGGAAGAGGGGTTCTTATGAAATGATATTACACATATCACATTGTGGCAGGTCAGTTTGTTTGTTTGTTTGATAACATATGCTTTTAAAATTCATTAGCAAATGACATTCTCATGCACACAAGTGTTTCAAACACAAGAAGCAAGTCCATTTATAGGTAGTCCAAGCAAGTGTGTGTGTGTGTGTAGCTGCAGACTGAATGGAACATTGAGACTTTTGTGGAGTCCATAGTGTTGGCATCAGCTCATTTCTGGATGTCACACTGCAGAAGTAGTACAATGGAAGGGTCGCTCTTTGCAGCTTCTTTGAATTCATCCAGTGTAATCTGGTCATCTTTGTTCTTATCCATCTTGCTGAAAATCTTGTCTACCCGCTGCTCAGGTGTGAGACCATCTTCATTCATTTTCATCATGATCACAGTGCCCACCATCTTGTAGATAGCCTTGGGGGGAAAAACACATTATGATCAGAAACCAGTCAGAAAGAGAACTCTTGTTTCCCCTCCATGTGACTGTATTCTCTTTCTCCTCCATTCCTCAATATACATGCATCTCTTGAAGGTGTTCCCTCTCCCTAGACAAGCATCAGCTCCTGGACTGCAAGTTCCCATAGTGCCTCATCCTCAGAGGTCATCGACCACTTTACTAGAATAATTGGTTGGTCATTCCCAACAAATGTGCTCTACAAGGCTAGGAACGATGTGTGTTTGGCTCACTGCTGTAACTTCGTGGTTAGGCACAATGCCTGACACATAGCTGCCCTTCAAGTAAATATCAATGGAAAAGAAAACAAAACCATTCTAGAACATGGTATGTGGGGGGAGAAGGACCTAGGTCACATTAGGTATTGACGAGGTACAGAGGTAGAGAGAGGAAAACATGAATCACACCAAGTTCTAGGATATGATGAAAAGATTGAAGATTGAAATTTATTTTGAAACATTCTTAAAATTATTCTAAAAAGAAAGTGACATACTAAAATGTATTTGAGTCATGTTACAAATGATATATAGGCTTTTTTTTTTAAAATAACTCCCTTGTTTCTGGCTGGAAGAAGTGGGTAGAAATAGTAGCTCACAGGTTAGATGAAGATTAATGGAAAGAAAAAAGGATGAGTTCCATTTTGAACACTGAAGGGTCTGAGGTGCAGATGATAGCCAATAAAACCTTTAAAAGAAGCAAACTATTATAATTTCTGATCATGTAGGCACTAGCAGATGGGGTCCAACTTAGCCGAGAATACAGAAAGGTATTTGGAGGAAAAGCAAAGACTTCATATAAGATCTAGAATTTAGTTAAAGGGACAAATGGAGTATGTATATCCAAACTGCCCCTCTCACCATGCTCCTTTAAAAGGTAATATTAAAAGGGTTTCAGTGAGACAGTAGCTATTAAGATGGCTAGCAATACAAACACACTAATTATAAAGCTAGAGTAAGAATTGTGAACAACAGAGGCTCATCCTGGCCCTCATCTAGTTACTCATGCAATGACAGGGTCTTGTAAACCATATCCAAAGCCTCTGGGAGATGCAAATGGCTAACCACTTAACTGGTAACCAGTTGAGACCATTTTTTAAGTATTTCCTGTGTGAGAAGAAGTATGCTGAGTGTTTTATAGACTATCTCATTTTATCACTACCACAGCTTTGTGAGGTAGGTATTTATTATGTTTATTTTTTCATGAAAAGATGGAATCTTTGTTGCTCCAAGTCCCACAAACCAGAAGGTGGAGAGCCAGCGTCCTGCCCATCATGGAGAATTGACTGGTATGGGACTTGCTTTCTCTTTGTAAACTGGGAGACTAGACAAAAATGAAAAGAAAGTGGTTTTCCGACGCCACAGGAGGAGTGCAGCTCTGATTCCTGAGGAAGAAGAATCACCTCAGCTTTCTGCCTGCAGGCCTTTCCTGACTGTAACACAGGGAGGGTGATCCTGAAGATCATGGTGGCTTTGTTGTGTCCCGTGGAGTCAGAACCAACCTATAGCTGACCTTTCAGTGGGTTTTCAGAGGCAGTTAATTACATGGGAGGAGATTGCTCATCCTTCTTTGGCAGAGCGGCTGGTGGATTTGAACCACAAATGTTTGTGCTGGCAGCACGATTCCTAACCTCTAAGTTACCAGAGCTCTCATTGACTTGAGGAGACGAAAACCAAAGTTTGGAAAGATTGAGTTAGCTAAAATTAGCAGAGCAGAGTGACAGACAGGAGCAAACTGTGTAGAGAAAGAGCTCAAACAGCCTGATTGGGAGTCTTCTTGAGTCTTTGGCCAAAGATTAGACTGTGGTCAAATATGTAAAATGCCATAAAGGAGTTTCTGAACAATAAATTGAGCATACTCAGAACAGTTGGAATGAAAAAAAACCTCACTGATTACCTCGGATATTCATAGTGGGACAATTGCTCCCTTTCTCTTCCAGTCCTTGGAGAGGGACATGGTGCCTGGAGGAGTGGAGGGACAGTGCAAGAGAGGAAGCTCATCAGTGAGATGGAGTAACTTAGTGACTGGGGTAATGTGGGTAGGTGTGTCAGAGACAATAAAGTCAGCTCAGGATTGCTATGAGTCACAAGCAACTTGTTAGCACTTAACAACAACAACACAACAATAAGCCTTGAAAAGCTTTGTATACTCACTACCTCTAGAGCCCCTACCCTTATTCTCTTGAATCTTCTCTATAAGAATGTTGCCCCCACAGGATATTAACAGACATTTCACCAAAGAAGACATTCAGATGGCAAACAAACACATGAAGAAATGTTCAAAATCCCTAGCTCTAAGAGAGACGCAAATCAAAACAACTATGAGATATTATCTCACGTCAGTAACAACAGCAAAGTATAACAGAACAGCAAACATCAAATGTTGGCGAGGTTGTGGAGAAACTGGAACCCTAATTCACTCTTGGTGGGAGTGTAAAGTGGTGCAACCACTATGGAAGGCTGTATGGCACTTTCTCAAAAAGTTGCAAATGACCCAGCAATTCCACTATGGGAATATACCCTAAAGAAATCAGAACCACCACTTAAGTAGATATATGCACACCCATGTTTATTGCTGCTTTGTTCACAGTAGCAAAGAGTTGGAAACAACCTAAGTGCCCATCAACAAAGGAATGGATAGAGAAGCTCTGGTATATTCACACAATGAACTACTATGTTGCATTGAAAAACAAGGAACTCATGAAATATTATACAAAATGGGTAACCCTGGAGGACATTATGCTGAATGAAATATCTCAGTCACAAAAGAACAAATCTCAATGAGTCAACTATACAAGTTCTTAATTCCAATACTTTTCAAGTTTCCAAATCTGTCAGTTATTACTACTATTTTTACTTTTAGTGGCTTAGTGCTGTCAGTTCAAAGGCATATGGTTCAAATCCACCAGCTACTCCACTGGAGAAAGATGGGCAATCTCCTCCCATTCGATTTACTGCCTCTGAAAACCCACTATAGGGTCATCTAGGAGTCAGTCCTGACTCAACACTCAACAGTACTTAACAGCATCAATAGTATTCTGTCACCCACCTGCCAGTTTGCCATGCTGTGGTGGCTTGCGTGTTGCTATGATGCCAGAAGCTATGTTACTGCTATTGCAAATCCCAGTCAGGTCATTCAGGGTAGACAGGTTTCGGGGGAGCTTCCAGCCTTAGACAGACTAGAAAGCATGCCTCTCCATCCACTTCTGCAAAAATGGGCTTTGAAGCCCAAATAAGACTATTGTCTGAGATAGTGGTGAAAGAGGAGACTTTCAGGTTGGAAAGCACTCTAAATAAATATGACAGATCAAGCAGGGCTTTGTTCTGCTGTCCATTGACAAGAGGAGTTGGAACACATTTACTTGATGATAACTAACAGCAAAAACACCAGTAGCAGCTCACATAATTGCATGTTTCCCCACCTTCTCTCCTTGAAACAATTTGTCTTTCCCTTCCAGAACCAGCCTAATTCTCAATGTTTTTGCGTTGGGTTTTTTGTTTGTTTGTGTTTTTTTTTTTAACTTTTAGCTTATTAGCATTTTTAAATCAGTCTCATTTATTGTTTCCCCCCACCATGTTCTTGACTTCTAAGCATTGCAATGCTGTAGGGTTCAGTCCTTTGCAAACATCTGTTTATACTCCTGTGATACCTGCTTTCATTGATTTTAAGTATCTGAGAAATTGCCAGCACAGATAGGGCTGGGATTCATTCAAAGCCCCACCAGTCAGAACGGAGCGACCACACTAAACACACAAGCCCTGCAGAGAGTCCAGAATGATCCTGCCTTGTAAGAGGGCTAACAATCCTTAAATAAGACTTCTCTAGAGATGATCCTTAACCACGCTTAAAGAAAAGCCTTTAAAAGATCAAGCCAAATGCATTTAACTGCCTGCAAAATCAAATCTCAGCACTCAAAATGAAAACAACACAAAACAGAGCCTGTAATGTAACATTCACAAAGTCCAGGTGACAATGAAAAAAAACAGTTCACCTGCCATAAGTAGGAAAATGTCAATCACCACTTTAAAAATCAGCTAATAAAAGCTTCTCTAGAGTATATTCTGCTCAAAGGAGAGAGGAGAGGGGAGCTGGAAGTGATGGGGACAGAGTAACTGTAGGTCTATCCTCAAGGAAGAGAAAAGCAATGGCTGGGGGTCAGGAGAGAGCCGGTGCTGTCTGTCAGGCCTGGTGTTAGTGTGAACACTCAGAGCTGTATCTTGATGTCCTTCTTGTGAGCATAAATAGCTTCACAGAACATCTGTGACCAGGATGAAACAATGAAAATGCAAGGCTGTTCTGTAATTGTGTGTGAATACACTAAACCACAAAATATTAAATATGCCCTTCCCACTGATATGAGTAACAGTCACTGTTTAACAGTCAGAGCTCCATCCTCTATCTAGTCTGCCCTCCTAGACCAAATTCTGAGACTGCGTAAGTGTGAGATACCCAATCATAGAATTGTTCCTACTCTCTAAAAGTACCCAACCAAAACCAACTTCTGCTTCCTTGTTGTTGTGTATCTTCAAGTCGGAATCGACCCATAGCTAAACCTCCAGTGGGTTTGCAGGGGCATTTAATCTCACAGGAGGACTCTGCCTATTCTCCATGGAGCAGCTGACAGATTCTAGCCACTTGCCTTTGATTGCAGTTTAGCTTCTTGCCACTAGGCCACCAGAGCTCCCTGCTTCCATGTTGTTGTTATGTGTCATTGAGTTGCCAGCAATTCATAACAACCCTAGGTACAACAGCTCTGAAACCTTGCCTGTCCTGGACCAATCTCATCATCTCTGACAGACCTAATCCCATTTCTTCAGTCATTGCATCAGTCCATCGTATCCTGGATCTTCCTGTCCTGCCCAATCCCTCTACCCTTCCAACCATGATGTCCCTCTCCAAGGACTGGTCACTCCTGGCCATATACTCAAAGTATGTGAGATTGAGCCTCAAAATCCTTGCCTCC